TATATATATATATAAATTAACATTGAAGTCATCACTCAGAGGCGACCAGCTGTTTCATACTAGATGCAATCGTCAGGCCGCGAGTGTTTAATTTTTCTCTACTATTTATATATATGGATCATTGGTGCATTGTGGGTAATCCATTTTGGCGGTTATTTTGGCGGGAATGACTTGTTTATTTATTTATATATTCATTTATTTAGGTTAATTTATTTTAATTGTTTTTGTTTTCATTTTTTATTTTATATATTTATTTATTCTTTTCGGTTTTCGATGTTTTATTAACGTAGTAAAAATTGAGGGTGTATTGGTTTAAGTCGCTTATTTAATATTTTGTTGTGGTCTGGTAAGATAAAGCTATTTATTCGTCCAATTTTTAGATTGATTGCCGTAGTCTATTGCTATTTTGGCGTCGGACAGTTTTTAATTTCTTTATTATTTTATTTATTTATTTATTTATTGATTATATTGAATTGTTTATTTTTATTAGTTCTAACGGTTATTTTTGCGGGAACGATTTGTTAATTTGTTAATTTATTTATTAGCATTAATTTTTTCTTATTTATTTGCTTATTTTTTATTTTGTATATTTTTATTTTATTTACTCTATTCGGTTTTCGATTTTTTTATCATTATATAGCATTTATAGCTACGTTCTCGCTCAATTTTTGCATAGATTGTTGTAATCTTTTCTAACGGTTATTGGTTTGTTAATTTGTCTATTGTTTACTTTATTTATTTGGATTGATTATTTTTACTTGTATTTTATGAATTTATTTTTTTTTATTTGTTCTATTTCGTCTATTCTAACGGGAGTGGTTTGTTAATTTGTTTATTATTTGCTTGGGTTAATTTATTTTACTTGTTTTTTTTATATTATTTTGCTTATTTTTATTTATTCTTTTCAGTTTTCGGTTTTTAAGTAACGCAGTAAAAATTTGTTTTCATGTCTGCATTTTGAGATGAGCTCAGATTGTTTATTTAGTAATTTATTTTGGTCTGGGATAGTAATAATAGCTATTTTTCCTCCAGGCAAAATTTGCAGGTTTTGGATTGATTTTTTGGATTGATTGTACGACAATCAAAACCTGCAAAGAAGATAATGACCGTAAACATACTGCTAAGTGTCCGAAAAAATGGCTTATTGAAAACAATGTCAATACACTCGAATGGCCATCAGTCTGCAGGCTTGAATCCAATAGAGAATTTGTGTCGTTTATTAAACATTCAAGTTAATAAAAGAGTTCTGCAAAACATCCTGGAGAATATGCAAAGAAGAATGGAGTAAAATACCAACGGAAACTTGAAAATCATTGATGAAAAGGTACAGAAAATAGACTGAGTGCTGTTAGTTTGAATAAGTGATATTCTACAAAGTATTAAATAGGCATTATAATTTTGTACGAAAACTTTTTTCGTCTCAAAACTTTTTAATTCCATTAATATAACAAATTTTTCTAATTTTTTTTTTTTTTTTTTGCATATTGCAGCATTATTCCATGGTATACAAATATTGTATGGATTATAAAATTCTTTAAAAAATCTATATTAATTAAAAAAAAATTCCTGGTGTACGAATATTTCCCCCGCCCACTAGATAGATAGATAGATAGATAGATAGATAGATAGATAGATAGATAGATGATGTGCTGGTCTGAATCTTCTTCAAGAAGCGTGAGCAAGATCTAAAAGGTTAGCCAATCTAACAGTGATCTCATCTCACAATCCTCGCTCTTTCTCCATATGCGTCCTCCTTTGTAAATCACTAGCGGGGCGTAAGTACCACTTAAGATTATCGTACAAAATTCATAACTGAATCAATTGGTTAAGTTGTCAGATCCTCATACGTCGAAACCGACGGGAGATTACATTATTATATATATAAACAAATGTTAAGAGGTACAAAATTTATATACAGTTTCAAAAACTAAGAATTTATTAATTTTAATTTTATTAGTCTCTAAGGCCCTTTCAACCAATATCTCATCAGGAGACAATCGTTGGATCATTAATTAACGAAAAGATCAGTAACGAAAATAAAGAGCAAAAAAGGGGGGGAAACACACTAAAATAACAAACAAGTGTATATACTTGTAACGAGGGGAGGGGAAATATATATATATATATATATATATATATATATATATATATATATAATAAATTTTGTTCCTCTAAACATTTTATATATATATATATATAAAACATATATATATATATATAAACAAATGTTTAGAGGTACAAAATTTATATACAGTTTAAAAACTAAGAATTTATTAATTTTAATTTTATTAGCCTCTAAGGCCCTTTCAACCAACATCTCATCAGGAGACAATCGTGTGATAATTAATTAACGAAAAGATCAGTAACGAAAATAAAGAGCACAAAAAAGGGGGGAAACACAATAAAATAACAAACAAGTGTATATACTTGTAACGAGGGGAGGGGAAATAACGTGTAAATAAAATTGTATTATATATATATATATATGAATAAAGGACGTCTACGTTGAACGTTACAGCTAATACTAGAATAAATGTGTTTTTGTCATTGATTCTATTTTTGCTATGACTGTAATCGATCAGAAAATTAAACTGTTTAAAAAGAGAAAGTGGTTCGTTATGACTAATTTCCCATCACAAGAATTGCTTAAATATGAATGACTGAGTCAGTGACTACTTTGAGACAGAGCTAACTATGTTAAGATTTTCCGCTCACGATTTCAGAGAGAACAAATATAGAATGGCGGAAAGAATATATGAGTTGTTGAAGAAGAAAATTAAATAATGATTGGATTAAACGGAGAGAAGGATAATAAAGAAATAATATACAGAGAAATTGAAGAGGAGAAGAATTTATTTTCGAGAGTTCCGGTATAAAAAGAAAGGAGTTTGAATAAAGCTGGTATAAAAGAACATATGTTAGAGAAAGCCATTATAAAAAGAACGGAGTTGAGAGAAAGCCGGTATAAAAAGAATGAAGTTAAGAGAAAGCCGGTATAAAAAGAATGTAGTTGAGAGAAAGCCGGTATAAAAAGAATCAAGTTGAAAAAAAGCCGGTATAAATGGACATAGTTGGCAGAAAACCGATATAAAAAGAATGTAGTTTGAACAAAGCTGGTATAAAAGAACCCAGGTTAGAGAAAGGCAGTATCAAAAGAATGGAGTTTGGAGAAAGCCGGTATAACAAGAACGGAGTTGAGAAAAAGCCGGTATAAAAAGAATGAAGTTGAGAGAAAGCCGGTATAAAAAGAATGAAGTTGAAACAAAGCCGGTATAAAAGAATCCAGGAAGCACCTCGGCGTGGTGTAATGGTTAGCAAGCTTGTCTCGCTGGATCAGTTACGACTGAAAAGTGAGTTCGATCCTCACTATGTGTCCCATATTTTCAGCCTTGTGCCACATCTAAGCTAATCTTAGAAAATAACTATAAAAGAATCCAGGTTAGAGTAAGCCGGTATAAAAAGAACAGAGTTGAGAAAAAGCCGGTATAAAAAGAATGGAGTTGAGAGAAAGCCGGTATAAAAAGAACAGAGTTGAGAGAAAGCCGGTATAAAAAGAATGGAGTTGAGAGAAAGCCGGTATAAAAAGAATGGAGTTGAGAGAAAGCCGGTATAAAAAGAATGGAGTTGAGAGAAAGCCGGTATAAAAAGAATAGAGTTGAGAGAAAGCCGGTATAAAAAGAATGGAGTTGAGAGAAAGCCGGTATAAAAAGAATGGAGTTGAAAGAAAGCCGGTATAAAAAGAACAGAGTTGAGAGAAAGCCGGTATAAAAAGAATGGAGTTGAGAGAAAGCCGGTATAAAAAGAATGGAGTTGAGAGAAAGCCTGTATAAAAAGAATGGAGTTGGAGCCTGGTATAAAAGAACCTAGTTGAGAGAAAACGGATATAAAAAGAACAGATTTGGGAGAAAGTCGGTATAAAAAGGAATTGGAATAAAGCCGGTATAAAAGAACAAAGTTGGGAGAAAGCCGGTATAAGATGAGTGGGGTTGGTACAAAGCCGGTATTATAGAACACAAATCTGGTAGAAAAAGAATATAGATAGGCAAATCTGATATAAAAAATTAAAAAGATTTGGGCAAAGCCGGTATAAAACGAACAAGGGAGAATGTTTTAAGTTGATGAATAATGAAAAAGTGGAAGGTATACATAACGAAACAAATATAATGATTTTAATAAAGAAAGAAACCTTTATTTAAACTTTTACAACCTTTATTCACAGATTCGAGGTTCTGATGAAGGCCTAATCCCCTAGAGACTCTAAGATAGAGCATCTTATAGAGTGCGCTTAAATCTGAAGTAATTAGCAGTTTGAACAAGGCCAATGCAATCAAACCCTCGATTACAAAGTGTTGTGAGTTGACGCCTCCGGGACAACTTCGTCAATCCAGTTTTCCTCACAAGGCTTGGATCAAATCGTGGTATGCTTTTCAGGCACTACTCAACTGTGCAGCCCCCGAGCATCGATAACATCAAAAGTCGCTTTCCTGATAAGTCAACCGTGATAATATTCAAACCCGGACCTCATGGTCAAATCAATGATTTTTTAAACATTAAATCATGCTTCCAGTGAAAATTACACTACTTTTGCAACATCAGTAAGGTGCATGCTAAAAAAAATTAAAGGGTATTCTTAAACATAAAAACATCAATAACGGGTACACCAATATTTTTTTTAAAAATCAGCTAAAAGAATAAAAAAAATAACAAAAGTAAATAATTTAAAAGTTATTAAGCTAAAACTTTAATCAAGATGTCTTTAAGGTTAATGAACATGACATCTGAATTACATCTGGAATCTTCTTCTGACATCTGAGGAGTAGTGTGCGAAGACAAAATGAGGTAGTTGACGGGCATTTATGGTTAGGGATTGTAAAAATTGGCACCAGGGTCCGATTGCAGGTTTTATCGAATGTTAAATTCGCAGACTTATTCTTTCAACGGCAAAGATCAGATGTTCACTGATTTAAGACTGAAGTGTTACGAGGTTGAAGACTCAGTTTTCATCTCGGGGAAAGAAAGAAAGAAAGAAAGAAAGAAAGAAAGAAAGAAAGAAAGAAAGAAAGAAAGAGACAAACAAGGAATAAATTAAGAGGAAGATGAAGAAAAAAATACGAGCGTGAAGAATCAATTTTCATCTCAATGAAAGGAAGGAAAGAAGGAAGGAAGGGAGGAACAAAGAATCGGAGAAAGAAAGAAAGAAAGAAAGAAAGAAAGAAAGAAAGAAAAAAGAAAGAAAGGAAGGCGGGAGGGAACGAAAGAAGGAAAAATGGAGGAATGAAAGGAACAAACGAACGAAAGAAAAAAGGAAGGAAGCAAGGAAGGAAGAAAGGAAGTAAAAAACGATGATAAAAAGGAAGGAATGGGGGAAAGAAAGAAAGAAAGAAAGAAAGAAAGAAAGAAAGAATGGAAGGAAGGATAAATGGAAAGAAAGAAAGAAAGAAAGAAAAAAGAAAGAAAGGAAGGCGGGAGGGAACGAAAGAAGGAAAAATGGAGGAATGAAAGGAACAAACGAACGAAAGAAAAAAGGAAGGAAGCAAGGAAGGAAGAAAGGAAGTAAAAAACGATGATAAAAAGGAAGGAATGGGGGAAAGAAAGAAAGAAAGAAAGAAAGAAAGAAAGAAAGAAAGAAAGAATGGAAGGAAGGATAAATGGAAAGAAAGAAAGAAAGAAAGAAAGAAAGAAAGAAAGAAAGAAAGAAAGAATGGAAGGAAGGATAAATGGAAAGAAAGAAAGAAAGAAAGAAAGAAAGAAAGAAAGAAAGAAAGAAAGAAAGAATGGAAGGAAGGATAAATGGAAAGAAAGAAAGAAAGAAAGAAAGAAAGAAAGAAGGGGAAAGACAGGAAGGAAGAAAGAGAAACCAGAAGTAAAATAAAAGGAAAAAGAAAAAAACATTTAGGAGAGCTCCATTCTTTAGTGCCGTTAGTTCAGACCTTTACAGCTAAATTCCGGCCTTTCTACATCCACAGGGTTGAATCATCCTCATTCCTTAAATATTCCCTCCTCAAAAGCCGCTTGTTTCTTGTCTTGATTCCTGCGTATATGCTTCCTTGAACGTTACAATCTTAACCTATTCAAATCTAGGGTCAATCGTTATCTAGCCTCCATATCCTCATAATTTTTACTTCCTGCTTCTTCTTTTTTTTAATCATTTCACCTGAAGCAAGGCAGTAAAGCCACTAAGACACAGAGGCTTACTTAGTGTGAAAGAATAAGAAAAAAGAGAAACATTATTTAGGATTGCAGGTTTTATCGAATGTTAAATTCGCACTCATTCTGTCAACGGCAAAAATAAGACGTTCACTGATTTAAGAATGAAGTGTTACGCCAGGTCAAGACCAATAACATTGTTGATTCTATTTTGGATTTTATCAAACATCCCTAAATATAGTGATTTTCCAAGCGTAGCTTAAATGTGGCACAAGGCCGAATGTAGGGGGCATCCAGTGAGGATCGAACACACTACTCAGTAGTAAGTGTTCTGGCGAGACAAGCTTGTTAACCATTACACCGTCTCGAGGTGCTCAATATCTCTAAATATATAACATAAGCACTGGACCATATGTGGTAGCAATATTCGAAGCATGGACGAATGGTAGACATATGTAAGATAGATTCTGGAGAGAGATGGCCGAGCACGATACACCTCATTCAGGAACCCTGCTCCTAGGGCCTTGTGATCAAAAAAAAAAAAAAAAAAACAAGACGAGGAGAAAGATGGAAAAAGAGAAGCAAATATTTAAAAAGGAATATAAAATGAAGGATAAGAAAGAAAGAGGGGACATGAAATGGAAAGGGAAGAAAGTTTTCTGGATTCCGTTCATGTTATTGAAGCACGTAGGCCCGACCTTGTAAATAAGGAGAAATAGCAAGTGTCAAATTATTGTCTTATTCTATATGATACAAGAGTGAACTTCGAAGAATCTAAAAAGAAATATCCGAATCAGGCTAGGAAGCTGAACAAGCTATGAGCCATGAATGTAGAATTAATTCCTGTAGTAATAGGAGCACTTGGAACACTAACTAGAAAACTGAAAAAGCGCTGAGGGAGAATTAGACTGATAAAAGTCCAAAGAGTAGTATTTGAAAAATTCTTCAATCTTACTTGCATATATCAGCATTATTTACATCACTCTAAAGGAAAAAAGTCTTGCTAGATTAATTACGACCGAGTAGTGAATTCGATGCTCACTGGGTGTCCTATACTTTTGGCCTTGTGCCACATCTAAGCCGGGCTTGGAAAATCACTATATCAGCATTATTTACATCAGTCTAAAGGAAAAATATCTTGCTAGATCAATTCCGACTGAGTAGTGAGTTCGATCCTTACTGCGTGTCCCATACTGTCGGCCTTGTGCCACATCTATGCTATGCTAGGAAAATCACTATATCAGCATTATTTACATCAGTCTAAAGGAAAAATATCTTGCTAGATCAATTACGACTGACTAGTGAGTTCGATCCTCACTGGGTGTCCCATACTTTCGGCCTTGTGCCATAACTAAGCTACGCTTAGTAAATCGATCACGCACTTAGACGTGATGTAGTGGCTAGCGAGCTTGTCTAGCTAAATCTATTACAACTAGTAGTGAGTTCGATCCTCACTTGGTGTGTAGCTGATAGTCACACCTAGCACAGGTGAAGTTCTGCAGATTCTGTGTGGATGACGATTTATTCAGTTTTTTGACCACTAGAACCACGCATGCGCTTTACCTAAATTGCAAATGGCGGCACCAAACCTAGCAGGCGAGACATCGTGGCCTCTCAGCCACAGATAGGTTGGAACTTCTTGATCTTATTTCACCACAGAGTGCTCCATACATTCGGTCTTGTGTCACATGTTAGCTCCGTTTAGTAAATCACCACTCTAAAGGACAAAAAAAACGTAATTATCAGGTTCTGAAGGAATTCTGAGTTCAATCCTTGGTTCAAATGGTACAAAAATACCACTGCCTCATTAAACAAGTCTGCATTTTAGGGAAGAATTTTGAAATTCTGAAAATTCACTTGGAAGGACATTGGTACGAGATAGGTACAAAATAAAGAGTTTTATTTTGTATTAATAGAAATTTACCGGTAGGCCCCTGATGAAGTCCGGAGACTACAGAAGTCGTAACGTTGTCATGAAAAAAAAGTAACTCGAAAGAATCAATGTAGAATAAGCAATTTGAATGGTTCGCCAGAATACAATGTTGGATCAATAAGTCCGTAGTTATTAACTGAATTTTGATCTGAAATGTTCACTGTATAAGGTTTCATCTATGTAATTAACATTCTTTACGGAATTAATTGCAGTGGCAAAGAAGGAGACTGCGTTGAAAAATAAATGATTATATTACCGTTCACATGTATATAAATAAATAAAGAACTAAATTACTATATATTTTGACTATTGCCTTCATCTTTGTTGTTGTTGTCACTACTTTTCACTTGTTGTGACTTCCGGCCTTCCTCAGATGTATATTGATCTTCGTAATCTGAGTAAGTTCATTAGAACAAATTGTCCCACGGGGCGATGGCCTACGGAATAAAAGCGTTGGTTTGTGAATTTGGTGGCGTAATGTTTGCGATTTTTGGGTCGGGCAGTGTCTACTTGCACTCAGAGAAAACGGACGAGCAGTAACTAAATAGTACTAAATAAAAATAAGGACTATGAACAGTGGAACGAGAACAGTCTAACCGCGTAGGTTAAATAAAGGGCTTAGTTCAGAATTCCCTGTAGGTTTCCTGACGAAGGCGGTATTAACTCCTTCCTCCACCTACTTAGACGAGATGTGACACAAGGTCTTTTTTAGGTGTGAACCCGAGTGCGTACGCCCGGGACGAGGGCAAAAATTGCCCACAGCCACTGCAACAGTCGATTGCGCTGGCCTCGGTGCGAGCACCGATCCCTCCCTCTGGTGCAATGGGAGGGCGCGGCCTCGGGGAGCTGTTCCCCAGGGCTGGGCACTTCTCAGTATAATTTCTCAGTTGCCCCTCTGTTCTTTGACAGAGAGGCCCCTGAGCGCACTCTGTCCAAAGAAGCAGCTGAGCGATGATAAGCCATGCGTTAGAAATTCCACCAATGAATATCTACCTGACGAAGGCCGAAGGACACAACGGTCGAAACGTTATGATAACAACAACAAAGTCGGGAGCAAATATGAGGGCAATAGTTCGAATACAAGTAAAGTAAATAACGATAACTCCTCAAACCGGAAATTGAAAAGAAAGAAAGAAAGAAAGAAAGAAAGAAAGAAAGAAAGAAAGAAAGAAAGAAGCCAACAAGCATGCAAACAAAAAGTTAATGAAAAATAACATACGGGCATTAGAAAGAAAGAAAGAAAGAAAGAAAGAAAGAAAGAAAGAAGCATGCAAACAAAAAGATAATGAAAAATAACATACGGGCATTAGAAAGAAAGCAAACAAGAAAGAAAGCAAGCAAGCAAGAAAGCAAGCAAGCAAGCAAGAAAGAAAGAAAGAAAGAAAGAAAGAAAGAAAGAAAGGTAGAAAGAAAGAAGTCAACAAGCATGCAAACAAAAAGATAATGAAAAATAACATACGGGCATTAGAAAGAAAGAAAGAAAGAAAGAAAGAAAGAAAGAAAGAAAGAAAGAAAGAAAGAAAGTTAGAACTACTTCATACGTGCTGAGTAGATTCTCCCCGATTACCGAAATCAATGAATAATCTCCTTCATAGCTATTTACATTATTCACAGATAAAGATTTACCTCATCTTTATTGTCATGTTCACAACGTTTCGGTCGTTGTACGCTCCAGCATTCTTCAAGTAAGTGGAATTTCGAAACTGAACCCTTTATTTCATCCACCGGTGTAGATTATTCTAGTTCCACATGCCACGCCTCTTCCGGATGTCTCAGTTAACTCTCTTTAACTCAACTCTCCAAGTTTTTTGTTCACCACTTTGGGTCAAGTCACTGGATCCAACGGACGCTTTTATCCACGGGGCCAGTGAACAAAAAATCTTGGAGAGTTAAGAGGAGATAAGTGAGTCATCCGGAAGAGGCACGGCACGCTGAACTAGAACAATCTATTCCGGTGGATGAAATAATGGATTCAGTTCAAAATGCCAATCACTTGAAGAAGCCCGGAACATACAACGGCCGAAACGTCTTGAACATGACAATAAAGATGAGGACAATAGTCCGAACAATGTAAATAATGTAAATAATTAAAATACCTCATCTCAGAAATATAGAGAGATACTTCATGGCTCTCCACAACTTCTTATCATCTGTAATAGATGGTAGGAGGTTGTGGAGAGCCATGAAGTATCTGTTGTCCTCGTTTATCAATATTTGTGTTTTTACCACCCCCAACTTTCCGTTTTGCCATCCATTCACTTAAACTCGTCAGACAGGTGACACGTTTCCTCTTTCTTTTTTTCTTTTTTTTTTTTTTTTTTTTGGCTGTTGATGTCTTGTGAGTGTCGAATTTGCCAAGCCCTCTTTCCTCATTATGTGTCCCAGAAATTTCAGCTGTGTCTTTCGGATTTTGAATATCAGCGTTCATTTTTTTTCTTTTCTTTTTTCTTTTCTTTTTTCTTTTTCTTAAGACGTCCTTAAGAACGGTATATAGGTATGTCCCATTTTTTTATTCGAGAAATAAAAATCAAAACTCTCTATTTTAACAACAGAAAATAAAAATTTTACAGCTTTCTGACTCTTTGCCGACAGATCATTTTTTTTTTTGTTAGTGTCTTTAAACTAAAAATGACAGGGAAATGACCAAATTAATAGTTATCTGATGACTATGATGTCCATGACTTGAAGAACATTAAAATTGAATTGTAAAGACCTGTTTTCGTTTTTCCATTTTTTTTTTTTTTATATATAAATGCTATAATCGTTCGAAATGTATCTTGTGAGAAAGTTTTAGATAAATGTTTCGAGGAGAGAAGTTCTGCCGACAGGGCCAACTGAGTATAAGTGAAACTGGTGTTGGCGCTTGGCGAGCAATGAATAAGCAATTTAGGATTAATCGATTGATTGAGCAGACGATAAATAGATAGAAGAAAAAAGAGGCCGAAATAAAATTTAAAAAAAATGAACTCAAAATGTCTGGTAAATAATCTAGAGAAATGGATTCTAAACCAGTTTATTGAGCAATGAGCGTAAGAAAATATAGCAGGAAAAGGGGATTGCATAACATGACTCGTTCATCTTCTGTCAAAGAAGAAAGATTTCAAAAGATATGATGTATTGCCATGATGAAATATTACACCGTATATTGTATACCCCTTAGATAGATAGATAGATAGATAGATAGATAGATAGATAGATGTGAACATATTGAGAAAGAAAGAACGAAAGAAAGAAAGAAAGAAAGAAAGAAAGAAAGAAAGAAAGAAAGAAACTGACTGTGATAGATATATTGATCATTAACAATAACATGTTTTTATTTGTTTGCCCTTGTCAAATCCAGCGGAAGCGTATCTTTATAAGGAAGATCGTATACCATCAATTTATAACGTACAAGTCATGCAAACGAGTTTTTAAACTTTGGTATTTGCAGGATTTCAGCTTGTAACTGCTAAACTCGGTTTCAGTGAAGCTACTATGACATGTTGATTTCATAACGTTTTATCAGACTCTCTCTCTCTCTCTCTCTCTCTCTCTCTCTCTCTCTCTCTCTCTCTCTCTATCGCTCTTTCTCTCTTTCTCTCTCTTTCGCTCTTTCTCACTCTTTCTCTCTCGCGCGCTCTTTCCCTCTCCCTTGCTCTTTCTCTCTCGCTCTTTTTCTCTCTTTATCTCTCTCGCGCAATCTCTCTCTCTTCATGACTCTTTCTCATTCTTTCTCTCTTTTCTCTTTTCTTCTCTCTATCTCTTTCTCCTCTTTCCTCTTTCTCCTCTTTCTCGCTATTTCTCTCTTCTCTCTCTTTCTCTCTCTTTCTCTCTCTTTCCCCCACTCTTTCCTCTCTTTCTCTCTCTCGCGCTCGTTCTCGCCCTTTTCTCTGTTACTCTCGCCGCTCTTTCTCTTTCTTTCTTTCTTTCTTTCTTTCTCTCTCTCTCTCTCACTCTCTCTCTCTCTCTCTCTTTTACGTTCGAACAAAGAAGCTATACAGAAAAGGAGACAGGAGACGGACGAATATTTCTTGACCTAGTCTGATACCGAAAGCACGCGCCCAATGCCTCGAGAGGGCACAGTTTTCTCTTCAAGAATGTTAGACACTTCCATTCATCATACCGTACACCCTAGCCTCGACGACCTCATACCTGGGTGGCATTGTTGGTCTTTATCAGCGGAAATACGTGGGCAGAGAAGTGGTGGCGAAAAGAGGACGTGAAATGTATTGGAAGAGGTGGGTTTGTAGATCCTTACAAATAACCAGGGCACTGGTACAACAGGTTGGACAAGTAAAAAAAAAAGCAAGAACCATAATAATAGTAATAATAATAATAATTAGTTTTAACTAGTTTTAACAGTTTCAACTAGTTTTAACACGTGAAAACTTTACAGTTTTCCTATTTGAAATTTCTAATGAATCTTAATTCTTCAGTTGATGAAGCTTATGGCGCGTTCTACGACAATAAAATACCCATATATATTCTCATATCGCACCATGAAATAATGGATTAAATAAATTCATAATCTTAATATTATATGAATCTTAATCTCGTTTACTAGACGTTAATTAGACGAAAGATTAAATCCAGAGAGTGGGCTCAAAATTTTAGCTTATCGTGTAAACAAATTACATATACAGTGATCCCTCGCTAATTCGCGGTTCTACTATCGCGGATTCATGACTTCGCGGATTTTTAAAATATATATATATGGAAAATATGTCACGGAGTTTCTGGAAAATTCTAGAAAAATCGCGATATATGAACACCTGAAATTTTTCATTAAACCCATTAAAATATTATTAATAAATATTATTTCCTGGTCTAGGAACAACAAAACAAGCGTAAAATAGCAATAGAAAGGGCACTGCCGTCTGAAGAGACGTAAAATACAATTATCGGCTGCACAGTAGAAGTCATCATCAGCTTCATCAACATCATTCTTACTGCACAGCAAATTCATCATCATCATCATTCAAATTCTACTTAATCTTCTTTCGTGTTGAATAACAGTAACAATCTTTATTTTTATTTTTTTTTATCTAAAGTGTTATTGCTTGACAGTTGTCTTTGTTACCAATAATGGGTGGGTTGTTAACAGTACAGGGAGGGTTTTAAAAGTTCAAATACACGTTAAATAAATACTGTAAATATGGCGTCCCTACTTCGCGGAAATTCAGTTATCGCGGCCGATCTCGAAACCAATCTACCGCGATAAACGAGGGATCACTGTAAGCTAAATTACAAATATCGTTCTTGTGGAGAAAGTCAAAAGGCTGTCAGCCGCATCATCTTTGAACATATCAAAAACAGAATATAAATACAAGATCAAAAGAGTACCGACAGTGGTATACTAGAATTAGACAATTCGTTTCTCAGGATATAAAGAAATGGCGTAAGAACAAAACACAGATGGGGTATCCTGGAAAATCGTGATAGAGAGTGAATTAAGAAGGAGACAAGATAACAGAGAAAAAAACACGTTTGGATGGCTCGTATGTTATAAATTGATGGTATACGATCTTCCTTATAAAGATACGCTTCTGCTGGATTTGGCAAGGACAAACAAATAAAAAATAAGTTATTGTTAATGATCAATCTATCACAATCAGTTTCTATCTATCTATTTCATTATGTTCATATCTATCTATCTATCTATCTATCTATTTCAATATGTTCATATCTATCTATCTATCTATCTATTTCAATATGTTCGTATCTGTCTATTTCAATATGTTCATATCTATCTGTCTATCTAGCTATCTATCTATTTCAATATGTTCGTATCTATCTATCTATCTATTTCAATATATTCATATCTATCTATCTATCAATCTATCTATCTATCTATCTATCTATTTCAATATGTTCATATCTATCTATCTATTTCAATATGTTCATATCTATCTATTTATCAATATATTTCAATATGTTCAAATCTATCTATCTATCAATCTATCTATCTTTCTATCTATTTCAATATGTTCATATTATCTATCTATCTATCTATCTATCTATCTATCTATCTATCTCACTCTGTTCATATCTATCTATCTATCTATCTATCTATCTATCTATCTATCTATCTATAACCTTTTCTGGGTGTCTCAGTTTCAGTTATCTACTTTTAGTAATTCAACTGCTGTGGCCAGGTATTGAACTCACAACTCTTTGGGTCAAGTTACTGGATTATTTTAATCAGCGTTTTTATCCATTGGGCCATAAAGGTTTCGGTTCGAAATTTTAACATATATCACCTGAAGAAGGCCGGAGTGTACAAAAGATGAAGACAACAGTCCGAACAATGTAAATAGTTGAAATAATTACAATACCTCATCTTAGATATATAGACAAATCCGGAAGATGGCCGGAGCGTACAATGACTGAAACGTCATTAATAGGGCAATGAAAATGAGGAGAACAATCTGAAGAATGTAAATAGTGGAAATGATTATAATACGTCATCTCAGATATATAGACAGATCCTGAAGAAGGCCGGAGCGTACAGCGGCCGAAACGTCATGAATAGGGCAACGAAAACGAGGACAACAGTCTGAACAATGTAAATAGTGGAAATGATTACAATACGTCATCTCAGATATATAGACAGATCCTGAAAAAGGCCGGAGCGTACAACGGCCGAAACGTCATGAATAGGGCAACGAATACGAGGACAACAGTCTGAACAATGTAAATAGTGGAAATGATTACAATACGTCATCTCAGATATATAGACAGATCCTGAAGAAGGCCGGAGCGTACAGCGGCCGAAACGTCATGAATAGGGCAACGAAAACGAGGACAACAGTCTGAACAATGTAAATAGTGGAAATGATTACAATACGTCATCTCAGATATATAGACAGATCCTGAAGAAGGCCGGAGCATACAACGGCCGAAACGTCATGAATAGGGCAACGGAGATGAGGAGAACAGTCTGAACAATGTAAATAGTGGAAATGATTACAATACGTCATCTCAGATATATAGACAGATCCTGAAGAAGGCCGGAGCATACAACAGCCGAAACGTCATGAATAGGGCAACGGAGATGAGGAGAACAGTCTGAACAATGTAAATAGTGGAAATGATTACAATACGTCATCTCAGATATATAGACAGATCCTGAAGAAGGCCGGAGCGTACAACGGCCGAAACGTCATGAATAGGGCAACGGAGATGAGGAGAACAGTCTGAACAATGTAAATAGTGGAAATGATTACAATACGTCATCTCAGATATATAGACAAATCCTGAAGAAGGCCGGAGCGTACAACGGCCGAAACGTCATTAATAGGACAACGGAGATGAGGAGAACAGTCTGAACAATGTAAATAGTGTAAATAGTTAAGAATTTGTGTTTGAAAATAAAGAAGAGTAGGAAGAAGTAATTCGTTCAAAAAAAGCATCTTGTGTTATTTTTATTTTTTTTCTGTTGGATATAATTCGATATTCGTATAAAATTAATATCCTATCGTTTAGAATTTTTTTCCCAGTTGTTTAAATGCCAGGTTTATAATCTTCATTTTTATTCTTAGTATTTCATATAAAAAGTACAGTATTTTCAGAAGAAAAAGCAACAATATCATTTCAATCGTCTGTTCCACCCATTCTTATTGGTCAATATGCTTCACTAGTCAGCCATGTTACATCATCTTGTCCCCACGTTCGCTTCAATGAATCAGCCATGTTTATGAGGTGGTACTTTTTTTTTACATAATTTCTTTGATTCTTTTTGTCTTTTCTTTTTCTTTCTGTTCTTATCTTCTTTTTTTCTTCTTTTCGGCGAGCTTTTCTATGATTGAATTTTACCTCTCTTTCTTATTGCCTTTCTTCGTTACTGTTTATTTGTCTGGGAAAAAAATTAATATAATGTACTCAAAGATCCGAAAACGGTCCCCACAAGCAATACATTTCCCTTGGGAGGGTTTACGTTCATTATTTGGCGCCTGGGGCGTCCACAAAAGGATAAGTACCGAGAGAACTTGGGCATTTTTTTTCTCCCAAGCCCTGATACGCATGGGCTCCCATTTTAAACTCTGTATTGAACCACATTCCGTTTGAATGGGTGTACGGTTACCTGTTCTTTATTCATTTAGTTACACATTTCTTTTTCTTCCATCTTTCTTTTTCTCATTTTCCTCTTATTTCTTCCATCCATCTCCTCTTCTCTTCCGTAGAGGCACCACAAATACACTGCCGTGCAAACTGTTTTAGCCAACGTACTACCGCCAGTCACGATGAAAGGTTATCCGCTCAAAGAGGCACCGTGCCTTTAGAGGATATCAGGTCTCAAACTCACACCCGCCCTTGTGGAATTCCTATATACGATCCATGGCTAAAGATGCAGGTAAAATGATCGGCTCCCTGAACCGTTCCAGTAAGTACCTGACCTCTCATGTTATCCTCTACCTTTACAAGAGCGAGATCAGACCCCAAACGGTGTACTGTTGCCATATTTGGGCGGGAGCTGTCCAGACCTCACTTTCTTTGGTTGGATTTCAAAAGCGTCTCCGAGTCCTTGCTGGAGAAGAATTATTTTCCACCCTTCAAACCTCTCTCTCGCATTTCGGGATGTGGCGAGTCTCTCACTGCTCTATCGCTACTCCCATGGAAAGTGCTCGGAGGAACGACATTCCTTGGTTCTGCAAGGTCTAACCTTCACGGCTAGAACCCGCTATGCCAGTTACATAGTACCAAACCACCCACCTTCCTTCCGTATTTCATCGGCAAGAAACAAGTTCCACTCAAACAGCTTCTTCCTGCGAACGACTGCCCCCATTGAACAATCCCCTAAGAGGATGTTTCCCCGATTACTACAATTTTAAACTGTTCAAAAGTTAATCGTTATCCGCCCCTCCTGTGTATATAAACTACCCCTTAACGTAACTCCCTACCTTGAGTGGCTCCCGGGACTTGTACAGGGTGAAACTTACTGTAAAAAATATACAGTGCTGTTCGATAAAAGTGACTCACCTGATTTTTTTACTTAAATAATTTTTTCGCCTATTGTTTGATGAAACGAAAGTTGAACTAAATTCAAAGGATAAGCAATCTAAAATCCGAAGAAGAAGCTTTGAAAGCTCTTTGAATTTAGCAGTAAGTACTGTCAAGCATCCGTTCAGTATAATGTTCTGGGGATGCTTTTCTTTTCATGAAACTGGTTTCTTAAAACCTATTGAAAAGACCCTCAGGAGCGAGCAGTACAAGAGAATTTTAGAGTCTTGTCTTCTCCCTTCTGCTGAAAGGGTGCAAATCGACCCCACCAAGCTCATTTTTCTGCAGGATAATGCTCCCTGTCACAAATCAAAATTGATGAAGCAATACTTTGATGAGAAGCAGGTGAGTGTTATGACATGGCCGCCCCAATCTCCTGACCTCAACCCCATAGAAAACTTATGGAGCATTATAAAGTACAGGCTCCTGAGAAAGCAGTTG